TGTCCAACCAACGGTTGCACCGTGAGACTGGCACAGGACCTATTTACCAGCACAATCTGTGATTACCAACTCAGGCTATACGGCCTCCTGGCTCACTTCCCACAGGATGATCCAGTTGTCCCACACAGCCATATATATATATATATATATATATATATATATATATATATATATATATATATATATATATATATATAAATATATATGTTTCTCTCTCTCTCTTTCTCTCTTTCTATCCTTCTCTCTTTCTCTTTCTCTCTTTCTCTTTCTCTCTTTCTCTCTTTCCCTCTTTCCCCCTCCCCTCCCCTCCCCTCCCCTCCCCTCCCCTCCCCCATTCTCCTTTTCCTTCTCCCCTCTCTTCCTCTTACATTCTCTCAATGAACCATATCCACTGGAAATGTCAATAAATTAAAATATGTATTCTGTTACAGGCAGGATGAAAGAAATTGGCTGGTTAACACCAGCTTTGCTGCTGCTCCTGTGTTCAGGACCAGCGGTAGTAGTAGCTGCATGGGGACAAAGCAGTGACAGTGTCCACCTGAAGGATGTGGAAGTACTGACCTTGTATGCAGGAAAAATGACAAATGGTGAGTAGATTGCATTTTATTTGCCAATTTACTCCTTTTTTTACAGGATGAGGGTGCATTTCATTCCTTAGCAGGAAAAGGCAACTTCAATATATTAGCTATCAGTTTTAGCTGCAAGAGAGCAAGAATAACCTTATGTTAGTACTGATATTAACTGCCAAAAATGAATCTTGACTATATATCCCATCCCCCCTTTCGGAATATACATGCAATAACTTAAGCTTGATATAGTCAACTCATGGAAATAATAATGATCATAATAATGCTAATGATATTAGTATTCATGATGATAATAATTATCATAATAGTAATAATAATGATGATAATGATAATAATAATAAAAGTAATAGTAATAATGGTAATGATAATATTAATATTAACAATTATGATGATGATGATGATAGTAGGCATGATAATAATAATAGTACTATTAATGATAATGATATTAATGATGATGATAATGGTAGAAAAGTATTTGTTTTCCTTTTCTTGACCACAACTTCTGTGTAAATACAGATATATGTAAAGCAATACTTGATTTATACAGGGCGACGGTCGTCACCAGTCCCTCAGCTGGAGTGTATTAGAGGGGGAACAGCTCCATGTGATGCTTTTAATCCTCGTGTTGTCCAGTGTTATAACCGAGGCTTTGATGGCGTAGATGTACAGTGGGAATGCAAAACTGATATGGATAATGCTTTCAGGTAAAATATGTATTTTTTTTTTTTCTTGTGTTTTTTGGTTTATAGAACTTCTCAATTCTGGCTTCATTTATTTAAGTTTTTGGCTCTTTAACTGTGTTATTTACTGAATTATATATCTTCTAGGTTTGGTAATATTGAAGTATCCTGTGAGGGCTACAACAACAGAGATGATCCTTATGTGTTGAAAGGTTCCTGCGGATTAAGATATTCCCTTGATTACACCAAAGAGGGACTTAATAACCAAGAAAAGACACATAACTATTATCCAAACCAGAATCAGCACAGTGGCAGCAATTATGGCTGGTCTTATCAGAACCAGGGGAAGGAAAAACTGTCAAGTGCAAGTTACTTTGCAGACTTGATTGTATATGTAGCCATTGGACTTATGTGTTATGCATTTTACAAGACGTGCATTGGGTCCAACCGTCAACAAGGACAAGATGCCTACAGCACAACAAATAATGATTATCCTGCAGGAGGCGGAGGTGGAGGATATGGTTGGTTTGGTGGAAACACCCACCCCACAGCTCCACCTCCTCCTGCTGGTTTTCACCCAGGGTACACTGATGATGCCTCATGTCACAGGAACCGGACAGGTCATGGAGGTAATGGTGGAGGCTTTTGGACAGGGGCTGTTACAGGTGGATTACTTGGCTACATGTTTGGTAACCGAGGTGGTCAACAGAATTATGCGAACAGGAGAGGGGGAGGATGGGGTAGTGGGGGAAGTGGCTTTTCTGGTGGAGGTGGCTTCTCCGGTGGATTTGGGGGTGGTGGGTCCACTGGCACCCGAACAGCCTCAGGCTTTGGTGGAACAAGCCGTAGGTAGATATTGCCCTTTGTGTTCATGTGACATTTTGTTTTTCATGTTTATTTCGGATAGATGTAGGTTACATTATCTCTCAGATTTAATTAGATCAAAAATATGTTGGATTATTTAATGTGATTATCAACTTTTTGAGTGTTGATTGATGCTGCTGTAATATGTGACTTTTTATACTTGTAATGCATATGTGTGTATAATGAAGAGCACTTGATTAGTAACACCATCTAACATGTTTTTGTTGTTTTGAATAAACAAAAAATGAAAGAAGTTTGTATTTGGATCTCAGGTTGCATGAATGTGATATTTATTTACTTCTTTAATAGTTCTACCTAGGAAATATATTTTGACTTTTGTAAGAGAAACTGGAAGAAGGTATATCCATCTATATCAAAGTCAGCTAAGTGAAAATGAAAAAAAAATATTGAGATTTCAGTACTCCCAACTTACACCTTAAAAAGAAAAAAAAAATTGTAAAGCAGATTTCACATACAAGATATCTAATTTTGCATGAGATGTAACCCATTTACACTGAAATGATGTACTATGATGTCCTAACATGTCATGGTAGACTATTTTCTGTATGGGGATGACGTATTCATGTTATTTAAAATGAAGTCTGCTCTAAGTTATGCCCACTATAGACGTGTGCTTGTTTGGCCTGATGTATTTACCCCATAAAAATAAGATTGAAGCCTCTTTTTAGCCTTATCAAAAAACAAAATTATAGTCACAGTCAAGAGCATAGAAAGTGGATTAATTTTGTTTCCCTTGTTTCTGATTTTGCCTTTGAGTAGCTGACACTGCATGTAACCTGATGCTTTATTTATTATGGCACTGGAGATTATATACTTTGCTGAATGTAGGTATTCATGAATGTTATTCTGGAGAAGTAAAAATATCAGACCAAGATATCAGCTGTTCAGAAGAAAGGAAGAAACATATATACTTTTTTGTTACCAAGATTTTTTTGTGTGATTACTTTGATGTATGTTTAAGTATGCTTTGGACTTTGTTTCAGGCTACTAAAGCTTTACTCTGGTACATGTGATTTTTTCTTTAGGTTCTTTTGTATGTGCAAGGCTTTCTGATTAGTTCTGATCTCTTTGCTCTTCACAAATTAGTTCATTATATTTGAAAGTATGTGACACACTATACCAATTCCTTTCCAGTTAACTGTTCAATGATGTTTCAAATATACCACAAGATTTTGGAACTTCTCACCTATTAGTGAACTCCTTTTCATATATTAGATTTTTTACCGACACCTAGTTATAGGCTCAACAGGCGAGATGCTGGTAAAAACCCTTTTTGTTTAGCTTATTTAATTCTTTGTTTATTTTTTCAAGGTAAAAGAGAAGTTGGATAACCCAGTATAACTGTACATATATTTTTTTTTAGTAATTATATTGGATATTCCTCTCTATTTTGACTTTTCATCTAAATGGAAAAAATGATCAAACACTTGTATGTATTTTTTTTTTTTTTTTTTAGTTTAATATAATATGGGAATTGGAAGTTTAACTTAGCTTTTTAGAGAGAAAGCAAGAAAGGTGCTGTTTTACAAAGGTGTTTTATTCAAGCACGCATTATGGTATGTCTTATTAAGAATGAAACTTATTTATCTGGTTTGTAAAAGGGATTTTGTAAATAAAGTAATAAAAAGATGAATTTGCATATTTTTCCTTGTAAAAAAAAAAAAAAAAAAATCCTTGTTTTAAAGAGCTAGCTAGCATCCCAGTTTCCTTGCTGTACTGACATATTGAGATGCAAATTTTGAACTTTATATAAATTTACACTACATGACAAAATATTATGGTTTACTTTCCTATGGTCCAAATATAATCAAATCAGCATTAATTGCTAGTTCAAAAAAATGATCTTCCCCTCTGCTCTCTCTTCGTCCTCTCTCTCCATCGATTGAATTGTGTTTCGCTCTAATAGTTGTGTGGTGGGATGGTGTGTCATGTGTTTGTAGTTGGAATATGAAGTAAGAGTGTGGGTTTCTTAAGGGTTGAATGTGTTTAGTGTGTGTGGGTGCAGCAGAATGTCGGAATGTTAGTAATGATAAGCTGGTGATAGTGCGCTGCCACTTTGAACATCGAATTATAGAAAGATAGCCCATTGCGATTTATTTCTTTAGAACTCACACCCATAAAACCAGAGTGAAGCACTTAGCGAGGAATTAAATTGACATAAATTCGCATAACAGTTTCATTATCATCTTCCAGAACATGAAGCAATATGAAAAAAAAATCTATCACAGCTCCAGTAAAGAACAATATCCATATTACTCATACAGGTAGAATGTCAATCTTATTGTTTTGCACATCCATCTGCCTCTTGAGCGAACCTCGAGCTAAAATTGAAAAGAAGAGAGATAATAAGGTTCAAGAAAAAATGACCGGCTGTCCAACGAGACTCAATATGGTAGCTCTGTTGCCTTCTACTATTTTAAATTGTAATAATCACATACATACATACATACCACACACCACACACACACACCAGGCTCGGTCTGTAAACAATATATACACGCAGAGCAGCGCTGACACAGCCGGGAAATTGTAGAAATACGAAAGGAGTGAAGAAGGGTGAAAAAGTAGTAAGATTCATTGATAAATTTGACATTTCGGGATATACAGATTCAGTTAGGACATTTTTTTTTATCGTTGAATGAAAGCATCGAACCATGGGGTTTCTCGAGACTTTTTATGAACATTTTCGATCACCTTTCGGTTTCATAAGATAATTTTTCCGGAGAATATATATATATATATATATATATATATTATATAATATATATATATATATATACTATATATATAATAATAATATTACATATATATGTATAATAATATATATATATATATATATATAATATATATATAATAATATATATATATATAGATATATATATATATATATATATATATATATATATATTATTTTTATATAAATATATATAATGTATATATATACAATATAATATATATATATATATAATATATATATATATATATATTATATAATATATATATATATAATATTACATATATATATATATATATATTATATATTTATTATATATATATATATTATATATATATTATATATATATATATATGTTTATATATATATATTATAATATACATATATATGATATATATATATATATATATATATATATATATATATATATATATATATATATAATTATATATATATATATATATATATATAATAATATAATCTCCGGAAAAATTATCTGTATGTGTGTGTGGTGTGATAATTATAAGTATATATAATACAATATAATATATTATAATATAATATGTAGATATAATACTAATTATATAGTAAATTACTAGTATATATGATATAATATATATATGCAAATGAAATAATCAATAATAATACGAATAATAAATCAAATATATAATTGTCGGAAGTCTTGGATTGGCATTCGAAATTGATTTATAAAGCTTTCAATAGCAGATTATAGAACATCACACATACTAGTTGGAGCAATAGAGCGATAACGCCAAACCTACTCAGTTCACTAAATCTATTCTACATTCAAAGTATAAACAGGTCACAAACACCAGTTCAGCGTGTAAACAGCTTGTAGATAAATTGAAATATCATCACTCTCAGTCTACACGAACTAGCATCACAATCTACTAGGATGGAATACTTGTCTAAAGTTTATAGTAATATGGGATGAGAAAAATATAACGTAAATGACATCTGTCAATCCCTGTTCTACCACCTTCTAGCATCCGAACAGCACATCTACCATTTGTCAGACCAGTCCGTGAACCTTCTCGGGACAGGTTTGGGTAAAAAAAATTTGTGGCAGTGTATAGGTTAATTTCGGGGAAATCAGCATCTGATACAAACACACAGTTGGGCACTTGTGTAATAATATATATATATATCAACTACGGAATAACAACACAAATACTAACACGAACACACACATATATATATAGCTAACACTAATCGATACAACACACACACACACGAACAACACACACACACACGTAAACACAACTACCACATCAGAACACTAACAACAACATAATAACGATACACATACAAATTAATCATATATATATAGTATACCAACACACACTGATGATAGTGGACACGAACAGCGGGAGTCAGAGAGAGCAGGATTTGTCAAGACCGGCGCAGTTCCTTTCTCAGTAGCGGTTGTTGGTCGGAGCAAAGAGCAAGCACAGGACACAACCACACACACAGCGGCGTCCGCGGTGCAAAGAGCAGCAAGCACAGCACACCACAGATCGACTTGCACATGACTATAAGTGACGCTATGAATGGATATATAATATGGGAAATAATATTATTCTGAAAGAGAAAGTGTGCTACATAAAAATGACACAAAGAGATAATGAAATTATGATGTATGATAGAACTTGTTTAACATTGAGGTCTGTGTTAGGGACGAATATTTGTGAGAGTATTGTTACTATTCGACGCTGATACATTTCAGCTTATCTAGACAAATGCTCACAGGTTATAAATTATATAGTGAATTAGAGGTAAAAGTATTTATTCATTTTAGATGAATGAGTTAAGTGGTTTTACGCGAGAGGCTTTTTTCTGTTACGTAAAGGAAAAAAGACTATCAATCAAAACCTTAAAATATTGAATCGAGATAAAGCCCCGTAGCATCTTGATATATATGAGAAATTATTAGTCAGATATTCTGCGCATAAAGGGATTGAGTGGAAACACATAATGGCGAGAAAATTATATAAGATATGAAATTCATAATAACTTATCTTTAGGTAAAGTGCTTTCGCATATGATTTTAGAAATAATGATGTTCTGTTTAAATTTCATTGCTATTCTAGTTTTAATTAAAATCTCAACTTGTTTTGCGTTGTATTTATCTTGCCTGTTCGTCTATTCATAAATCATATTCAAAATTAGAGCAGATGGAGATATCTATTTCTTTTCCATGGCAGAATAATACAGTGCAAATACTTACTTGTGGCCGATAAATAACAGTTATTAGAAATGATATTTTATGGAGACGAGTGGCTTAAGTCTCCTAGAGGAGTCTGCATCTTGTTCAGAGACTACGTACTTGTATTATCTGAGCCATACACAAAATGATTGAGGAGCGAATATTAATGAGAGAGTATCCGCCTCTCTTCTCGGCTAGAATTGAGATCTCGCGATATGTTCGCGGTCGCGGTACCAAATACTTAAAACTGGTGAGTATGGACTCTTGACAATGATCTTTGAGAGAGAGAATTATCAAATTAATTATCAGTAAGATAGACACTAACTATATAGAATACTGTTCAGATACTCTATATAAATTTCACACACAATGGGTAAAAACATTTTGCAGATTCTATTTGTAGAAATCACTCGTAATTATAAGTACAGTTGTCAGTCAAGCTACGCGCTTATAAGTATGAATGAATAAAACGTAAAAACGTATTACATTGCATAATATCAGTTGTTGTATTCACATCATTTATAACATATTGTATATATTTATTGATAAATTATATGAATTATTATATAATTACACATTTTCTTAAAATATATTAATTATAAAAATATATAAAAATGTAAGCTAAAATATAATATAATATACTCTATTATATCAGCAAATAAAAGATACATATTAAAAATATAAACAATTCATTTATATATAAAAATCAATTTACAGTATACCAGGGAATTTTATGTAATCAAAATTAGTATTATAAGATATATAAATATATATCCTTTATATGTTAATCAGCTATAGATAATTTTATACTAAGATCATTACTATAATATGTTTTAGAATGAATACACATAAGTCTGAGAAATAATAATGAATACAAAAAGCAGAAAGTAATAAATAATAGGGTATACATAAAATTATATTAAATATAAAATTAAAAAAAAGAGACATATATAAATTATACTATCAAAATACTAATTCACATCTATCCCTCATATTTACTTAATTTAGTAATCTTATAGTAGCTGATACTTTATACCTATATAAAATAAGATTATAACTTCACACTAGCCTACTAAGTACTATTCCTAGCTCACTCATAATTCTCTCAATACTATATTAGCACACATATAGAGCTCAATTGAACTAGAAAGTACATATAAGAGAAGATTTAAGAGTATACTACAAAATGACAATATAAATAATATATAATCAGAGCCAATTATCCACAAAATCTTAGATCACTAAATATATATATAATTATATATACATATATTTCCACAATTCACGCTAATACGATCATGTAATAACATATTATAATCTTAATAATAATATAACTATAGAGAGTCATAATATTATCATAGTCATCACTATTATATATATATACAGATTTACCATCTCATTCACTATACACCAAATTGATAGGTAAGGACTTATTTAGTCTTTAATTCTTGTATTTATATCTATTTCACTATAGATGAATATATATAATATATCCATACATTGAGCTATCGCTAAATTTAATTAGGAATAATATTTCTCACCAGCTGCAGAGTCTACTATATATATTGTGAGTAAATTCTTCAATTTGCACTTCTTTATAGTTTTATTGCTAGTATTAATAGGAAATGTAACATAGTTATAATCATATAGTGAGTTCATCACAAAATA